TAGCTGTGCATTTATACTTCTGCGCGCTGTCTCTGTTGGTCTGAATTAACACTTCTGAAACGCTAGTTGGCAGTGAGGTGTATATGTTCCTCTGTGTCGAGTTTCTTCGCTGCTGTTTTGCTTTTCCTGAACACTTCCTGGATGTACAAGTGGCTCAAACTCGCTCATTTTGAGGCAGGAACCGGCGGACGTGCAACAACTTTAACTATGAGGTAAACACGAAACAAAACTTTCCATCCGGAGCTCCTTCACGGGACTCCACACTTGTAAACAATCGCTCCATTGGGCTTGCGTCCAGCTCGCGCCATTTGCGCGGCTCTCGGTCCCGCCCAGACTCGTCAGCGCTACCAAGCGGAACAATCACAGAGCTTGCGCTTCGCGTTGTTGGACGTATAGTCACAATTTTTGAGAGGTGCAAGTCAGCGACACCGACGGCCACAGCGAAGGGCTATGCGTTAGCGCCATAGCATACGCCGGCGTTTGAAGCAGAAGTATTAATCAGCCTTCACTGCCAACTAGTGTTTGCGAAGTGTTATCGCAGAACAACCGAAACAGTGCGCAGAAGTACAAATGCACAGCTACGCGCGTAGCATGCACCGTATGCCACGGCGATCACTTGACGCAGAAGTATAAACCAGGCTTTATATTGCATTCACACCAAATGCAGAATTAAACATTTGCATTGGAAAATTACATTTAAGGTCAATGTAATCGCAGAACCAGAGGTAAATTGCCTTTGTGCCGCATGAATGATGGTAAAAGCTTGTTGCGTCTACTGTGCATGTTCAAATAATTCAGCTCGATCAGAACGTTTGCATGAGGTTAAACACATCTCGCAACACAACATGACCACACAGTTACTCGAGTTTCTGAAACTTCACCCTGGCTGGAGTTTTTAGAAAGTTTTTGTTTGTCACCTGATACTGCATTTTGGTAATGACCAAACTGCGTAGAAACAAAAATGCAGTTCTCAAAATGTTCATGTTCGTATGGACAGGCCTTTAGAAAGTTTGTAACTTTGTCATTCACTTGAGACTTTTGAGGAGTGCAGGGTCCTTTCATGCAACTTGAGTGTGGAAACAAAGAGCTGCCTTTTCTTTGTGTTACCTAAAACCCAAGTTTGGTGCAAACAGGGCCGGCACCTCAATAGAGGCGACCTAGGCGTAGAGTAGTCTGTAGCTGTTTCTCAATATGCGTTAGTCAGCGGTCTTGCGTCCTCATGTTTTCGTGTAAAGTCATCATCAGCTGCCAAAGTTCAGTTCTAATACTCAAGACCGCAAGAACAGAGGATGCGTGAATCTTCCCGGATGTTATCTTGATATCGAGAACGCACCGATGCAGACTTGAGCACCGAACTCGCTCTAGAAGTCTCAGAAGTCATTGCGACTGAGGGTGGGAAGTGCAGCATTTTATATTTAAGTTCAGAGATATTACTAATTTATTTCCCTAAATTAAACGGTGAATATAAACATTACCATGGACATCTTAAGTTTGTTTGCTGAAATTCGTATTAAAATCTGTTTTATTCATATTGTGCAACGTATATTGATAATGTTTTTTTGCATAGTTTATATTTTAAAAAGGTGGAAAACAACTCGTTGTCTGAAGGCTGGAATGGTTAAATAATTTACCATTTAAAACCGCGTGACCATCAGGAAGAACGCAGCATCTCAATTCTCACAGGACGCATTCTCTGTACTCGCGGTCTCCCGAGTTCGTTCTTCCTAAGGACACCTGGCAAGACCGGTCTCCACAAGAACGCAAGTCCGTTCTCTGCGTTATTGGAATTGAGGAACAGCCAGGGTGACAAGTGTAGAGCGCCAAAGCCCAACCCAACCGCGCTCCAGACCAATTCTTTCAATGGGGCCAGGGCCGGCCAACTAAACCGCAACTGGGCATGACTCGGAGCACTCAAACTTTTCAAATGAACTCGGAAAAGGGGGTCAACAGTACTCGGACATGGTTCCGATAGCCTAGTGTGAGTACATACTTAATATGTTGGAGCAGAGTTGAAACTAAACCCTTCAAAGTTGAGAGTTGGAGCTGCTACCTTCCACGAGTTTGACACCCCTACCCTTGATCGTAAAACATATTTATGTAGGCTAGCAAACGCACGCTAATCATATTTTCATAACATTTTAAGTAGTGACTGTTGACTAGGGGTGTCCAAACTTGGTCCTGGAGGGCCGGTGTCCTATATAGTTTAGCTCCAACTTCCTTCAACACACCTGTCTCGAAGTTTCTATTCATTCATACGTTTTTTTTCGGCTTAGTCCCTTTATTTATCAGAGGTTACCACAGCGGAATGAACCGCCAACTTATCCAGCATATGTTTTACGCAGCGAATGCTCTTCCAGAAACAACCCAACACTGGGAAACACTCTTGCATTCACACTTGTACTCCACGGCCAAAATTAATTTTTTAAATTCACCTGTACTGCACGTCTTTGGACTGTGGGGGAAACTGGAGCACCCGGAGGAAACCCACGCCAACACGGAGAGCCAAGCGGGGGCTTGAACCAGCGACCTTCTTGCTGTGAGGCGATTGTGCTACCCACTGCACCACCGTGATGCCTCAAAGTTTCTAGTATACCATAAAATAGTTTCATTATGAGGGTGGATGTTGTTGTCGCACGCGTTCTAATCAGCGGTGTTGTCGCGCGCTACTTAGGGGGGGGTCGCGGGGGCACTTTGGATCATTTTGGAAGGGCACTTTCTATCCAAGACTAAAAAGGGCATGCACGTGCCTGGTTTCAGGTGTATCTAATTAGGGTAGGAACTAAACTTCGCAGAACACCAGTCCTCCAGGACCGAGTTTGGGCAAGCCTGCAGAAGACGCTCTGAACAACGGCAAATGCTTTTAAATTCTTCTCACGCTTTCTGTCATTATACAACAAGTCTGTAAAACCATTACATTTGCTCCAAAGTACTTGAAGGCGGTGACTACATTAATAAAACGGAAAGTGATTTTATTAATGTACAAACATTGTGTGACTTCAAGCACAGATGTTTTTATTTATGGCCAGGCAGGGTAAATGATGTACTTATTTGAGGGAGGTATCCTGTGGACCTGGGCGAAGCACTAGCGCAGTAGGTAGTGCTGTCACCTCACGGCAAGAAGGTTGCTGGTTCTAGCCTCGGCTCAGTTGGCGTTTCTGTGTGGAGTTTGCATGTTCTCCCTGCGGTCGCGTGGGTTTCCTCCGGGTGCTCTGGTATCCCCCACAGTCCAAAGACATGCGGTACAGGTGAATTGGGTTGGCTAAATTGTCCGTAGTGTATGAGTGTGTGTGTGTGTGTGTGTGAATGTGTGTGTCGATGTTTCCCAGAGATGCGTTGCGGCTGGAAGGGCATCCGCTGCTTAAAAACTTGCTGGATAAGTTGGCGGTTCATTCCGCTGTGGCGACCCCGGATTAATAAAAGGGACTAAGCCGACAAGAAAATGAAAGGAATCCTGTGGATCTGGTTTTACAATGTTGTATTTTACTACTTTTCCATATTTTGTAGTTTTTGCAATTTTTTTTTGAATATTGCTCAGCCCATTGGTCCGCTGTAATGGGTTTTAAATGTGCTATATAAATAGTTAACAAATTAAGTGTGATTATTTTGTCCATTTCCAGCATACATCAAGCTGAATGTCAGAGTGGGGCTTATTAATCTTTGCTGTATTTTAGAAATAATAAATAAACATATTAAAACGTTTCTGGAGATTTTTGTTTAACTTACTGAAGCCATAGACCCACTATGCGAATAACAGAACAATTTAACTTATTTAACTTATTGAATTAATGCAGTATATGGCACATTTCGGCCTGATTGGTCTGTATGGGTTGACATCCGAGCGCCTGCTATTGACCAGTGGTATTTTCCACATCAGCAGCTTCATACTACAGTAATAACAAAACAATTTCAACATGACATACTGAATTTTATAATATTTTTTTAGTTTATAAAGCAGGGTGGTCTGGTAATAATTTAGCTGAATTCACCAAGCTTAACGGACAAAAGCAAATTAAACATTGCTGTAAAACACTAAGGAAATTGTTAAGAAAAAAAAAAACCCTAAAGGTCTGCACTGAATGACTGCTGTGTTCAAATGTGAATTTGTTGAATAGCATTAATATATTGAATTATTTCGATATTTTATGTTTCTTTAGTCAGCACTGTGTACGTACTCCAGTAACGGCGCGCGGCAATAAACAAAAGACTTTTTTTTTTTACTTTTATTTAGAAAAAAAGAAATTTACAATATAAATCAGGAAGTAATCTGTAGAAGAATGGAATACAAGAATTTACAATTATTAATAATAAGTAAAAAGAAAGGAGTAATAGAAAGAAAATTTAAAAAAAGAACAAAATGAGGAAAAGGGAAGTATTAAATTAAATAAAAAAATACAGAAAGCCTTAATTACTAACATACTGGAAGCATAATATTTTCATAAGTTTCTATTAACTTGCACAATTTCTTGTTGATAGAAAGACGTATAGCTTTAAGCATGGAATCAATTTCAATTAAAAAATGGGCAAACGAAGGAGAGGATTTAAGAAATTTTTGTTTGTGAATAAAGAATTTTGCATATAATATAAAAAAGTTATATATATATATATATATATATATATATATATATATATATATATATATATATATATATATATATATATATATATATATATATATATATATATATAT